GGGGGGGGGGGGGGGGAAACGCTGTGTTCTTTAGAAGACAAAAGCAAGTTGCAAGTTAACCTTTATAAGATAGAGTGCACTGTTATATGTATGTTTATACATTATATAAAATATAGAGAGAGTATAAAAATGGTGTATTAAAATAATGCCCTTCACTCAAAAGTCAGAACTCATGAGGCATCACAGAGTCCTTATAAGTGAGAAACTCTATAAATGCCTGGAGTGTGGGAAGTGTTTTGCTTACAAATCATATTTTCTGAGACATCGGAGAACCCACACAGGAGAGAGACCTTATGAATGCTTAGAGTGTGAAAAATGTTTTGCTCTGAAGTCACAGTTTGTGAAACACCAGAGAGCCCATATAGAAAAGGGCTCATTTAAATGTCTAGAAAATGGGAAATGTCTTGTTCAAAACTCAGCTCTTCTCCAGAGAGATCATATGAATGAGACACCTTTCAAATTTCCACACATGTTCCCATAAATTTGGAAATGAAGCATACTTAATGTCAAAGTATATACAAGGGACGTACTCTTTTTATTTAAAAAAATACTGTTTTGGCCAACACAAAGGAGTACTAATTCATGGCTCCTAATCACTAAAGACCTTGTAGTTGAGAGATGTTAATGAAGTGTTTTTTCTTGTGCCCATCTAGATAACTCTAACCCTCATATTTTTTTCTGATTATAAGAATTATAAGAAGGAGAAAAATGAGACAGGATGGATGGGCAGTTGGGGGGGTGGGATTTTGGAAGTAAATCCCATTGATCGAGATTCCCTAGACTATGGGAGTAGTGTGGTGATAGTGGAATCTACTTCAGAATAGGCCTCAACTGCCAATCTACAAGGATGGGAAGATCATTCCTCAAAAGGTTGGAGAGAGCAAGTGATGTGGAAGACAGTCTTGCATTTCCACAGCCTTGACAGCTTATACTTGATAGATAGGATGAGAGAGGATTTCTCCATGGCGAACTGAGCAGTGGGGGATTATGGCAGTTCCAGGCTAGTATGGTTACTGGACCTGATGGTTGGAAACAGAGAAAGATGAGGAGGGAATAGATTCAAGGCTCCCCCTAAGCCTCAAATACCCATTTTCATTCTCATTTAGAGTCCTAGAGTTGGAAGAGACCTTGAATTGGAAGAGACCTCTCATGGAGTAAAGATCTTGTAAACAACTCCCAAATCGCTACCGTACTAACTATTGATAATTCTTTTTTTCTGTCCCTTCTTTTATCACTCTCCCCTCCCACCCCAAAGAACCACTATATATCTATGTAAAGCTTCTTTCTTAAAATGTAGTACACTGTCCTCTGCTCTCATTGGCATGGTGGTCTGGAGACAGAGCTGTCCTCTCTTAGCAAAGAGATACTTTTAAGGCCATATGAGTCAAGGCACGTGGCCTTAAAAGGCAGGACTGTACAGTAGATGTCAACCAAACACAACCCCTTCTTAGTTCCTGTTTTCAGAGGGAAGTTCTTGTGCTTGTCCTCTTAGATCTCAGTTACGCAATTGTAATGGTAGTTTATTTTTAATGCATACATAGATTTTATTAAAGATTTTTTTAAAAAGGAGATAAGATAAAGGAAAGGACAGAAAGAAAAGAAAAAAGAATACTAGAAAGAAGGCAAAAGTGCAAAAAGAAAGAATGAAAAGAAATAGAAGTAGCTTCTGATTTTCTTTACAGCAGTTATAAGTACAAATACAAAATGACCTCGTACTCTATGGTTACAACATACTCTCTTCTTTCTGTAGTCTATACTGTCTAATCATCAAATCCATAAATCATAAGTTCATTTTTTTTTTGGTTACACACAAAAAGTCTATAAGGGGTTTCCAGTCAGCAGTCAACACAGATATTATCGTTTCTCTAATCAAGGAAGTCAGTTTAGCCATCTCTGTAACTTCCATCATCTTCACCAACCATTCCTCCATTGTGGGTAGTGCCAAATCTTTCCACCTTTGTGCATATAATAATCTCACTGCAGACAAAATTGTAATGGTAGTTTAGACGCCAAATGGGTATGTCAATATTTGAGTTCCTGCTTAAACAAGAAAGTTGGTTTGCAACTCTTTTATTTCAGTCCCAAGGAGCCTCCAGAAACAGGATTAGTACTATTATATGAGCTTCAATAATTGAATTCATGTTTTAGATGTTTAAGCAGCAGTTTTAGTGCACTCAGTAGCTAGACCTTTTGTCTCTTAGTCCACCCCAAAGAAGGATCCGCCCCAGTGATTTCTTCTCTAGTTTCCTCATCTCCCCATCTTCACGATGATGCAGACAAACCAGGAGGGGTATTGTATTTCCCTTTGCTTACTTCCCCCAGCAAATCTGTCCATTTCCTACTGATTTCCATCTTCATCTACTTCTTCTCTGCTGCCAGGGCTGTCCGCCATCCCCCATGCTGCCCAGTTAAGCTGCTCTTTCCCCCCTATAATATTTTGCCCCAGAAGGCAAAATATGTATGCTTCAGTATTTTCAATAAAGTAATCCTTGGTTAAGCTAACGCGTCTTAACTTTTCAAACTCCCTTAATTAGTTTTGAGAGCCTTGATGTTTAACATTCAAAATCTCACCTAATACCAGAATACCCAATGCATACAAGCCATACACAGAATATCTGATAATATCAAGCATGTCTTAGCTTCCACCTGACCCTTTAGCCTGGGAGTCAGACTAAGTTAGTGATAAGATATTCTGGTGGTCTCCCATCCAAGTATTAAACCTGCTGTGATGTTATTTAGCTTTTTCAAGAACTGTTATGATCAACTAGCTGCTGGGCTCCATTCTGATACAGTGGTACCTCGGGTTACGAACGCCTCTGCCAACGAACTTTTCGGGTTGCAACCAGCTCTGGCTGCAAAAATTTACCTCGGGTTACGAACCGGATCCACGCCCATTTTCTGCCGTGCCACGTGGTCCGCGGCCATTTCCCCCCCCGTGCCACATGATCCACGGACGCCAGAATGGATTAACGGTAATTACATTGAACCTTATGGGAAAATTTGCTTCGGGGTGCAACCAATTCGGGGTGCAACCAGAGTCATGGAACGAATTAAATTCGTAACCCGAGGTACCACTGTATTGCTGATTCAATCGCTAGATTCTTACTGTTGCTAGAGATCTGGTGCATGTGAATTATGGCTGCAGAGAGCACATTTGATAGCTACTGGTAAGGGTAAGGTTTTTAAACTTTAAAATACCTTGTGTGCAGTAAATCAGCACTTCAGAGAAGTGTGGGTCGGGAGAAGAGGGAGACTTTTCAATTAAACTAGTTTTGCTAGTTTACTACAGGAAGCAAATGAAGATAAATATTTAGCTGAGCTTTTACTCATTTTTTTCCCACCCTTTCTCATTTTAGCACCTGAAGCTAGAAAAATTCCAGTGGATGAGGAATTCTGGGAGTTGAACTCCACACATCTTAATGTTGTCAAGTTTAAAAAACGCTGGTGTAAGGGAATGAGATCTAGTAAACAGAAATGCTGGCTTTTTACATTCATCCCACATAATTGCTAGTGTATGCGTGTGCATCTTTTAACCCTAGTCTCTTAACTCCACTGGATGGAACGTCAAAATACCGCAAGGGCGACCGACGCTACGGTATAAGCGTCTGCGGATCAGCTGTGCCTTGATAAGGAAAAACTACAATTCCCAGCAGCGCCCGGGCTCTCCTTCGAACGCCAACTGGCGCTTGGTGACGGAGAGAACGGAAGGACAGTGAAGCGGAGTGATTGGCTGAGCTGGGAAAGGGGCGTGGCCGGAGGCTGCATCCCGAAGCTGCCCAGTGCAGGTGAGCAAATAGTTTTCCGAGGCTGAGCGGTTGGAGGTGAGGCGGGTAATGGTGGGGGAGGAAGGTCTGCTCTTACGTTATTATTTTCACGAAGTTGGAAAAATGAGAGTTCCTTTGTCTGCTCGGATCTCCCGCCCCTTTAAATATAAATGTGTCTCCCAAGAGAAAGGCAGTCAGCTGCTCTTTGGATCGCATCGCACCGTGTATTGGGGATGGAGAGCGGTGAAAGACGTAATTGAAAAGCAGGAAAGAAGAAACGTGGTGAACTCTTAAAATGGCGGAGGAAAGCAAGACATATTCCCCCCCTAAACTGAAAACAATGCAAGGAGCTAAATATCGCCGTTCGCACCACTTTCTAAGCCAGTGTTTTCCAACCTTGGCGATTTCCAGGGCTGTGGACTTCAAATCCCAGAATTCCACAGCCAGCGTGGGCATTGATGAGAATTCTGGGAGTTGAAGTCCACACTCCTGGAGGTTCCCAAGGTTGGGGAATGCTGTTCTAAGCTATGCCTTACTGTGAATTCACTCAACGAGCTGAGCTTTGGTTTACTGAGTAAGCCACAACTGGCTGGATTCACCCCAGAAGCTAATGCATCAATCATGGCTGCAGCTAGATTCTCACAACTTTCTGTTAACACTAAGTTGTGTTCTGGCATAACTGCCATATGCCTCTATTCTGTTTTTTGCTTGGTTTCCTTATAGCCAAAAGGGTGCCCTCTGCTCAGTGTAGAACCTGGACGGATCTTTATGTTTCTTACCTGATGATGACCCAGATCCATATTTTTTGCCCTCTATGCATTATTGCGATGTTTTACTAGCAGGGATGGGCAACTTGTGGCTTTGCAGATGTTGATAAACTTCAGCTTCCAAGAGTTTCAGGCAGTATGGTGGATAGGGAGGAATGCTGAAATGGTAGCAACATCAGCAGAGCTGAGATAGCCAACACAGAGCTTATAATAGCCGCATACTAGCCCCATTTAAGCCTGCAGGCCATTTCGTTATACTGTATGAGAAGAATATATAGGCCTTAGTATGTATCTTATCCTACCTATGGGCTACGGAGAATATAGGTCCCTCTCAATGTATAGCAATTGATGAATATGTTTGCAGGAGCAGTTAAGAATTGTGTTTCTTCCTTTCTTATTATCATGTGACATTTGTGATCAATAAATAAAATAATAATGTACCGTAGAAGTTAAGAGAGAACCTGCATTTCCCCCTCTGCTTGTCCTCCTTGCCTCCAGAGAGTGAAAAAATGATGTCCTCCTGTCAGCCAAGATGTTTTCCTTCTTCTGGAATGAGAGAAGAGATTGCTAGAAAGCCAAGCCAGGTAGGACTTTGTCCAGAAATAGATGGGGAAGGGGTGGGTGGGTTTGAAGTTAACAAGGAACACGAGACATCACTTTCTTTCATTCTCCTAATGAATGGAAGAGATGTTCTGGATCAGAAGAAAAGCTGGATCTGGAAAATGGGTGTAAATGGTAGCTACCTAGATTTTGCTCAGGAAAAACGTCCTGATGGTATAAAGTCTACTTATGGGGCTAGTGAGTTTTCCACTTTGGAAGTTTTTAAGAAGCAGCTAGACAGCCACTTCCCATGGATGGTTTAACTGGCTCTGTACATTACAGAAGGTTGAACTAAATGATTCTTGTGATTCATAATTCTGTGATTATGATTTTAGGATTCTAAGCCATTTGGTCTAACAAATCAAGTGGATTTAATTATGGTCTCCAGGATCCAGTACTAGGGTTTTTTATACTCTGTAGGTGTTATGGGTAATAGTTCTAAAATTGTCCACTGTGAGTTATATGGTTTCTTTTAAGATTATCTAAATTATAGGTGATAGCCAGTTTGGTCTAGTGCTGAAGGTGCTGAACTAGAAGCAGGGAAACCTAAATTCTAGTCCTGCCTTAGACATGGAAGCCAGCTGGGTGACTTTGGGTCAGTCATTCTCTTTCAACTTAGGAAGAAGGCAGTGGCAAACCACTTCCAAAAATGTTGCCAAGAAAGCTTCATTGACTTTTCCATATAGTTGTCAGGAGTCAAGACTGACTTGAAGGCACAAAAAAACCCCAAACCAGTAGACAACCTCTGCTGTCCAGATGTTGTAGACTACTACCCCATCAATTCTTGCACAATATGTCAAGTTGCTTACTCCTAATTTAAAATAACAAGCGTCAGCATAGCTGCTAGAATTGTAGAAGCTTCTGTCATATCCACAAAGGAATACAGATTCTTCATTTGCAGTCCACATTGGCTACATTTATACAACATACTTAATCTGGAATCTGAATTAATCCATTTTCTGGGATTATGCAGTGTATTGGACCATAAACTAAACAAGTAGCCTGGGCTTATGCTACATACTTAGCCACACCAATACTTCATCAGGGTAAAATTAACCAAGTTCACTGCGTTGGGTAAATGTAGTCAGTACGTTTGTAATTCACCTAGTTAAACTTGCTGTGTGAGCACAGCTGATGTAGGAATCTGCATGGCCACTCATATTACATTATCAGCCTGGAGATTTCACACTATAGTTACAATTCTGTATCTGCTTATGAATCTCCCAGGCTGGAAGGGACATCTGGGAGTTAGTTGGGCATTGTGTTGATCACATCTTTTCAAGCCTTTCCCACAAAGGACAAATCTTTGCATGTAAAAATGGATGTCTGACACTCTGCTCTAGGCTATAACTTTTTTTCCCAAAGTTTTTATATGTATGGAACAGTGCTTTAAGAATTATTTGGAGAGTGGGATGGATCAGCCCATCAAATGTTAATGTATAGTAAAAAAAAAATTACAACATTTGCTGTTTATGGATATGAATTCAGGCTTATTTACACATATACGCACATACCACACACACAGATTTAAAAGGACAGAGCAACGACTATTGTGTATCGGGCTGCAGAAATATAATGTTTCCCCTCTCTTTGCATTTTGAAAAGTTTTTCAAGAGTTTTGAAGATTGAAATGGTGTTCTTCTATTTTTGCAGAGACCTGTGACCTTTGAAGATGTGGCTGTGTATTTCACAGAGGACCAGGGGGCGCTGCTAGATGAAGATCAAAGAGCTTTGTACAGAGATGTCATGATGGAGAACTATGGGAACGTGATCTCCTTGGGTGAGCAAATTGAACCATTTGACAGTGGCTGGACGAGCTGAGTTAATCTCATTGGTCCTTCATGGGTTTTTTGAATGACAAGTTGGTGCATTAATTTTGTTTTCTCTCCACTTACCCAAACAGAGAAGGAAATTGATGAAATATATCTTATTTTTTCCTTTGCAACAGTGTATAGTCATGGGCCATGCTGGCTGGAGAAAATGGGAGTTGTAAACTGGCCAGCACCAGGTTGGAGTAAGCTGGTCTGAATTTTATAAGGCCTTAATTCATTTGTCAGCTCTAGGGTCATGGTCTAGGAGCAACAGAGAGCAGGGGAGAAGAATATCTTAAATCTTCCCCTGCCTATACAGTGTTTAGCTCCTAGAGACTATTTCTCCATATGTTCTTCTTTCTCACATAGTCTAATGTGTAAGGCAGTGTTTCTCAACCTTAGCAACTTTAAGATGAGTGGACTTCAACTCCCCCAAATTCCCCTGGCTGGCTTGGGAATTTTTGGGGGTTGGGGTCCCCTCCTTTTAAAGTTTTTAAGGTGGAAAACACACGGCGGAGGGGG